CCCTGAGAGCTTCTCCCTTTTCCTTCCTTAGGTCTTTCCCACCTTTCCCTGTTCGCCTTTTTTCCCCCAGATCTTCCCCCTTTCCTCCCTAAGATCTTTTCCACCCCTTCCCTGTTGAGATCATTTCTCACCTTTCCCCTCTAAGGCTTTGTCCCCAGATCTTCTCCCTTTCCTCCCTAAGATCTTTCCCCCCCCCCCTTTCCCTGCTGAGATCCTTTTCCCCCTTTCCCCCCTAAGACTTTCCCCCCTAAGTCCTTTTCTCCCAGATCTTCTCCCTTTCCTCCCGAAGATCTTCCCCCCCCGCTTTCCTTCCTAAGATTGTTTCCCCCCTTTCCCTGTTGAGATCCTTCCCACCTTTTCCCCCTGAGGCCATTCCCCCCCTGAGAGCTTTTCCTTCCTTAGATCTTTCCCCCTTGTCCCTGTTGGCCTTTTTTCCCCCAGATCTTCTCCCTTTTCTCCCTAAGATCTTTTCCACCCCTTTCCCTGTTGAGATCATTTCTCCCCTTTCCCCCCCAGATCTTCTCCCTTTCCTCCCTAAGATCTTTCCCCCCCTTTCCATGCTCAGATCCTTTCCTAAGGCCTTTCCCCCCCTGAGATCTTCTCCCTTTTCCTCCCTAAGATCTTTTGCCATTTTTCCCTGTTGAGATCCATTCCCCCTTTCCCCCCTAAGGCCCTTTCTCCCTCTGAGTTTTTCCCTTTTCCTCCCTACGATGTTTTCCCCCCTCTCCCTGTTGAGATCCTTTCCCTCCTTTCCCCCCTAAGGCCTTTTTTCCCCCCGCGATCTTCCCCCTTTTCCTTCCTAAGATCTTTTCCCCCCTTTCCTTGTTGAGATCCTTTCCCGCCCTTTCCCCCCTAAGGCGTTTTCCCCCCCAAGATCTTCTCCCTTTTCCTCCCTAAGATCCTTTGCCCCCTTTCCCTGTTGAGATCCTTTCCCCCCTTTCCCCCCTAAGGCCTTTCCCCCCCTGAGATCTTCTCCCTTGTCCTCCCCAAGATCTTTTCCCTTGGTTGAGATCCTTTCCCCTTTCCCCCCGAGATCTTCTCCCTTTTCCTCCCTAGGATCTTCTCCCACCTTTCCCTGTTGAGCTCCTTTCCCCCTTTTCCCCCTAAAGCATTTTCAGATCTTCTCCCTTTTCCTCCCTAACATCCTTTGCCCCCTTTCCCTGTTGAGATCCTTTCCCCCTTTCCCCCCTAAGGCCTTTTCCTGGGACCTTCTCCCTTTCCTCACTGAGATCTTCCCCCTTTCCCTGTTGAGATCCTTTCCCCCCTTTCCCCCCTACGGCCTTTCCCCCCGCTGAGATCTTCTTCCTATTCCTCCTTAAGATCCTTTGCCCCCTTTCCTGTTGAGATCCTTTCCCCCCTTCCCTTTAAGGCCTTTCCAGATCTTCTCCCTTTTCCTTCCTAAGATTGTTTCCCCCCTTTCCCTGTTGAGATCCTTCCCACCCTTTCCCCCCTCAGTCCTTTCCCCCCCCTGAGAGCTTCTCCCTTTTCCTTCCTTAGGTCTTTCCCCCTTTTCCTGTTGGCCTTTTTTTCCCTTTCCTTTGTAAGATCTTTTCCACCCCTTTCCCTGTTGAGATCATTTCTCCCCCTTCCCCCCTAAGGCCTTTGTCCCCAGATCTTCTCCCTTTCCTCCCTGATCTTTCCCCCCCCCCCTTTCCCTGCTGAGATCCTTTTCCCCCTTTCCCACCTAAGGCCTTTCCCCCCCCTGAGAGCTTCTCCCTTTTCCTTCCTAAATCTTTTCCCCCCTTTCCCTGTTGGCCTTTTTTCACCAGATCTTCTCCCTTTCCTCCCTAAGATCCTTTCCACCCCTTTCCCTGTTGAGATCATTTCTCCCCTTTCCCCCCTAAGGCCTTTTTGCTCCAGATCTTCTGCCTTCCTTTCTAAGATCTTCCCCCCCCCTTTCCCAGTTCCCTGTTGAGATCATTTATTCCTCCCTTTTCCTTCTAAGGCCTTTTCCCACCCTCAGTTCTTCTCCCTTTTCCTCCCGTCAGTTCGTCTCCCTTTGCCTCCCTAAGATCTTTTCCCCCCTTTCCCGCTTAAGATCCTTTCCCCCGTTTCCCCCCTAAGGCCTTTTCCCCCCAAGATCTCCACCCTTCTCTTCCCAAAGTCTTTTTCCCCCTTTCCCGTTTGAGATCCTGTCCCCCCATTGCCCCTTAGGGCCTGTTCCCCCCGAGAAAGATTTCCCTTTTCATCCCAAAGATCTTTTCCCCCCTTTCCCCCTTAAAGCTTTCGATGTTGAGATCCTTTCCCCTTTCCCCCCACCAGCATGGGCAACATCCCCGGCATCACTTGCATCATCCGCATCCTTGGCAGGCGCTGATGCGGATGATGCAGGTGATGCTGGCGATGTGCCGCTGGAGGTGCTAAGGATGCGAAAGCGCACCCGGGGGGAATCGAACGCGCAAGCCCGCACAATGAACAGATTTAGTGAAGCGTCTTCGAATCACCGCGTGGTACGTGGGCCCCCCCCCCCCGCAATAGTCTGAAATGGTCCCTGTTGGGGAGGGGTTGGGGGGAGGGGTAACAGGTAAAGAGGTAAGGAGCTTTTTTTTGTGTCCAACACGCCGTCTGTTGTCGGCGGATATTTGTTCGCATCTTGTTTTTTGGGTTCCCCGGCTCTCCTTGTTTGCTATCTGGGGTCGATGATGGTGCAAACGGGGTTTTAAAAGAACACCAAAACAGGACAACCACCATTTTGGGTCGCCTGGTTTTGACGGTAGCCCGTTTTTCTGGTTTCGCGGAAACCTGGGGCGGAAATCAGAGGCTGTATTTGGCGTGTATCTGAATTCGGGTGAGCAAGCGAATTCGGTTGGGACATCTGCGAGCCCACATTTGTTCCTCCTGACCCGTTCAGCGTCCCATGGATTGAACCTGGGAGCTTTGGGCTTTCGGCCAGGACGCGCGGCTGACCTGCCCTCAGACTCTGGAGAGCACCAATCGAGCCACCTGTTGGCCTCAAGGGGAGCGCCGTAAGCGCAGAGCATTTGGGGCTGTCTTTTGTGGGGGTAGATGTTTTTTTTTTGGTGGTTTTAAAGAGAAACCACAAAGAAAACCATCATTTTGTGGGGTCCCTAAAAAAGACACACCTACTGGGAGCAAGTAGGCGGGAATTTCCCGGCACAAGTGGGGAATTACCTCCTTGACTTGAACAGGATCGTCCGGTTTGCCGGTGCGACAGCGCAGTTTGCGAGACTTGTCCACAAACACTTCACATTTGTCGAGCGATCTGCTCGCTTTTCCTGGTGAGGCCCTACTTGAAGAGCCTGCCGGTGTCCCAGTGCGTGCGCCATCGGCAAGGCCGGTCTCTCGTGAGATTTGCCGGGCAGCGAAGCTTGGAGACACAGACACAAGAGAGACCGCACCATTCAGGCAACCCGTCAGGTTGTTTTTTTGGTTTGGTTTGGGGATTTGAACAGGCTGGTTCTTGTCCCGGAACACCCCCAAACCGATTCGGCTTCGGCTTCTGCAAGCCAACGGCCATGGCCCAAACAACCGCCAGGAGCTCGGGGCGCCACGCCGGGGGCCCAACATTGGACGACTTTTCTCATGCGAGCGCCTGACGCGCGTGACGCGCGGCGCGGCGGCGGAGCGGCGGCGGAGCGGCTCCGCTCGGATTGAGGCACTGGCGCAGCTTTGCGACGTCGTTGCGGCAGCACCTGGCCTCGATCTCTAGGCGCGGCTTTCGGGGGTTGGACAGATGGCGTTGTGCAAAGGGCGAAAAGGCGGCTGTCGCAATCTTCAGAGTTCATTTGGCTGTGGGTCAAAACCTATGGTGCCTTTTTGGAGATGGTTACCACTCCACGGTTGTCTTTTTTGAAGGCTTTCTGGGTGTTCACCGGGGCACCGGGGTTCGGACCCATAGGCCTGCATGAAGTGTCGGTGTCACAACTCGCTGAGCTCCTGGACATCCATGCTGTTCCTGACAATGGCTGGCCCTAAATTCTTACAGCACGGAAGAGAACCGAAATCAGTCGCAGTCTTGAACTAATCAAAGTCTTGATATTGGGATGTTCATGTCTCTCCAGTTCTGGTATGACCAATGCTCGCCCATGCCAATCTATTTGTTACTCCAGTGGAGTCCTCTTACATGCCATCCATTAGGAAAGATACCCATGAATGCTGCGAGTTCGCAACTCCCAGAATGAGCTTTTGCAGCTCTGTGCTGCAACTCGAATATCATAAATCCAAACATTTGCCTATATGGGCGCTTTGTATGAACTTCACCGGGTTTTTTGTTCTTTGTGGTCTGTTCTTTTTGGTAGGAGGACTGCAAACAGCAATGTTTTTGCTACCATACCAAGGGTTGTAAAGTGCATGCTGCTTGTACCTACGTTAGAGTGGTATGGCTGCCCCCTTGACAAACACTATAACGGCCAGTGGCTAAAAACCCTGGCCCATACCACTTTCCTGCAAGCAATAGGAGCTTCCCGCATTGGACTGCATTGGACCAGCCGCTGATGCGGTCAACGTCGCCATTAAGTTGTCCATTCGGGCAGACCATAGTGGCTTCAGGTGGAACGATACCGAGGTTGTTTTGGGACACTGCTTTGTCTCGACCTCTTGGGTCAACTTGTTGAGCCACAAATGCGGGAAAGTCGACCACGCGTCTCAATCTTCCAAATCTTCGCGTGTGATGAATATTGAAATCATAGCTATGTGTTTGACCTGCATCGTGAGGAGGGCGGGCATTCCCCGCCCGCGTGCGCATGCCTTCCTCCATCATCGGTATCCGCCACTGGTTGGTACAAAGAACAGCCCGGTGTACAGGTTTGGTCTGCCCTCTGAAAGAAGACAAACAACTCCGAGGGCAACCGGCAAAAGTATCACACAACAAGGCAGCCGCAAACAGCCATGTTTACAGGGTAGAGGGGTGTGTCACGCAGGCCCCGAAGGTTCCTCATTTTTTTCGCAGGGATCAAGTAGGTATGGCTTCTACTCACAACATTAAATAGTTCAAGGGAGAAGGGGGAGGAACATCTTCTACGTCCTGGGTGCCCTCAGGCATGGGTGGCGCCGGTTTCTGGGCCCCGCACTGCGGCACCAGCTCTGTCGGGCGAAGAAAGAGGTGCGAATCGGAGTTGGGAGCCGGGGTTTGGTGAAAACACGAGGGATGGTGTCCTCAAACATGAGCTTGTCTTTTTCAAACTGGGGGGACACCGAAATGGGTTGGGATTCATTTCGCTGAACACCGCTTTCCGTTAAAGCCATCCAAAAAAGGTACCCTCCAAAAAAACACACACCCAACTGGACCCCTTGTTGGTTGTTTAATGATGCAACCAGTTTAAAACCCCGTCTTTTTTTCTGAGGGTGTCCCCTTCCGAAACTGACCCCCATATTAATCAACCAGGGGTTTATTAATTTAGGGTTGACATGACAGGGTAAACAAAAGAAACTAACCATTTTGGAAGGGTACAGCTATTTTTGAGAGGCGGCCATATGAGCCGCTGTGGGCCAAGGGCAGGAAACCCTGTTCTTGTGGACACGACTATGGTCGGGCAAAGGTGGTTTGTCCCAGTTTTCAAAGGGTTTCTTCTATCCCAACGCAGGCGAAATCGGGGTCTTCAAGGGACAGCCGAAAGGGAGCCGTCCAGTATTTGGGTCCCGCGAATTTGCAAAAAAACCCATTCGGTGTCAAAGTTGAGCTCTCGAAGCTACTCAGCTGGACACCCCTGGCTGGTTGTTTGCGCATCTTTTAGACCAATCCGATTGTAAGGTGGTTCTGTTCATTTCTAGTAGGGGCTGCAAAAAACAGTCAGTTTGTTGCAAGCCCAAGGGCTGGACAGGTCTCTTGCGGATGTTTAGGGCTGGACAGGTGAATTCACCACCCATTTTAGGACCTATTTTAGTGGTTGGATTGAATCGGATGTTCACTGGGGGCTAACCGATTTGGATTTTGAACCATGGCCATATACGTCTCCCTTAGGAGGCACGGCACCTCGCCAGGTCTGCACCGAGAATGCTGGCTACTGCCCTTTGGGCTGCCTGCCTGGTGCCCGGCCATTTGGACATAGGACAAGCGACCTCCTCCAAGCAAGCGTGTCACTTTTAGGGACCTCCCCCACAAGAAAAACAAGTGGTTCACCTTTTGGGGTTATTTTGAAACCCCCAACACAGGGGTGCCCTCAGAAAAAGAGGAACCCACATCAGCCTCTTTTCTGGTGGTTTAAAGGGAAACCCCGCGAAAGAAAGGTTGTTTTGAGAATGCGAGCAGTTGAAGGGGCCCACTGCGAATACTCAGGTAACCCTTAGTTTGTGGGCTTTGAACCCCTGGCTTTTGTGGGTAAATGGGGGTTCCCGACTCCTTAGCCAAACCACCGATTCTGCTCCAAACGACCCAACCGCTCGAGGGGACTGACCCGGACGGATCCTCAGGGTGGCACACCTGGTGCTGCTGCTCAGCGCGCCGCGGCCTGTGGAGATTCGACGTGCCATCTCTCATTCCTATCTCTCCCGCCCATCTCTCCGTTCCATATATATATATATATACAGAACTACTATGTCTACTATCCCATACATACGACTTTCTTGCATCTGTGTCTTTCTCTATTCAATGCCCTGGTGGAAGCTGCCACGAGATCTGGGGGAAAAAAACAGCGAGCCACCTCACAGCCTAAGGAGCCGGATGGCGATCGAACCTCCCCCGTCGCCTCGCCTGCGAGGCCCCGAGCCTACCGACTGGACGCGCAGCTCTTCTCCCCAACCGCCAGGGTCCCCGGAGCTGGACGGAGCTCGTATCCAAATTTGACTTGGAGGGGGCCAAGGAGTTACCGAAAAATCTGCAAAGACATGGGTTTTGGGGCCAGAACAAATCTGGTGTGTCTCAAAATAGGATATGGAAGCTCCAAAATGGTTGGTGTCCATTTTGTTTCCTATTCAACTACCCCCCCCGACAGGGTGCCGGCACAAGCCAACCCGTTTTGTTTTGATCATCCTGCTTGCCCATATCAAGGAAGCTATGTCATCTACTTTCAAAATTGGTTTGTCAGTGTGAAACAGGCCCTCCAATGCATCTTGGTTTCTTCCTATGACAGGGCTCCTGACAAGATACATTCTGCCCATTTGAAACATGGCCTTTTCCACCCAAAATAAAGTTGGACACCATTTACAAGGCAATGTTCAGGTGTCTACTGTAAGAATCCCTGCCTGAAGGCCTTCCGTCTGAGGCCCTGCACACCTGGGAGAAGCTGGGCTGGGAGCCCCGTGAAGCGTCTCTGCCACCCGGGCCGCTCGAGTGGCTTGATTTGGCGGTCGAACTGAGGGACAGATTCCTCTTTTGGCTTGTCTCCTCTTGGCTTCCCCTAAAAAAATCAACAACAAAACACACGTTCCTCTAAGAAAAGAAAGCCAAACGCAACACGTCCACCAAACGCAACACGTCCACCAACGCGACGCGTGGCTCCCTGCGCGAGGTGTGGGCTTGGGCTACTTCCTTTGGAACCCCACTGGCTTCAAGCCGGGGAGCCCCGGCTCGACTCGTGCAGGAGGGGCTCTCAGTTTTTCAGGTTCAAGGCGGTTTCGGGTTCGGTTATTCCCAAAGGCCCCGTGGAAAACCAGAAGCAACTTGGGGCAGCCACGTAGGTTCAAGTCTCAGTCACACCTTGCCATCATATGACTTTTACCTGGGGGTTGATCAATATTCCCTTCGGCCCCCAATGACTATGGACAACTTTTCCTGTCGAATCTGTTGTATTTGTGTGGTTTCCCTGATGGTCGTCCCCTGCTGGCTCAGACCTTTTGCTCAGACCTCAACGGGTGGGATTGTCCGTAGGCTGGCGGACCTGCTGTACAGCGGCTGGCCCTTGTTCGCATTGCTCCGGGAGATGCGCCTGCCCTTGGCCAGGCGTCTGGCTTCGCCGTTTGGGACATAGCCATGTCTCAGAGGATCTCTTCCCTTCCTCTACATGGTTGTCAAGAATAGTTGGTACCCCCCAAATTGCTGGAACCCTGGTACATAGAAAGGACGATTTAAGCTGCGGTCCATGTCCTGGTGGTTTCATTTTGACCCGTACCCACATGTCAATGCTTTTGTTTGCTTGTCCAACAAACACGGGCATTCTTTGGACACCGAACAGAGAAGGCAGCCAACTCACTGAGCGAAAACCCGTGAAACTGGTGCTGGCCCACGAGTCCAGATCCTGATCCGGCATGGCCATTTCTCGATCCGATGCCGGAGGTTGCAAGGGGTGTCCAGGCAGGGCTCCGGGTAGACTTAAACCCAGTTCGTTGCGGTCCCAAAAGGGGTTTCCTCTAACACTGTGCTGGTTCCATGCTTCAAACACGTGGCCGCCAGAAGGACGCCTCTGGCTTTGTCAGATGCTCGCATGGGTCTTTCGGTTCTTCGAAGCCCCTTGTTGCCCGCGAGGCTGGCGAAACTCAGCACTGGTGAGGCGTGCGCTTCGGGCAAGGTTCACCAGGGCCGTTGATTGGTATTCAAGAAAGCTTTCAGTCCGCGTGACCTACACTAGGTGCGTGGGAGTATGTTCAAGACATAGAAAAGTCCACATACATGTTTTCTCTGAAATGTTCGGGACTCATTTGGCTGTGGGTCAAAACCCTGTGCCCCTGGTGAACATCAAAATAGGTGGTACATGGGTGTTCATCCGCCCAAAAAGGGAGGCATAGGTTATGACCCATGGCCATTTTTTGATGTCTGCTAAGGGTCTGCCAATCTTGCTGCACTTTGCCAGCCATGTAAGTCTCTGCGCATCGTTAGAACTTCTCACTGGTACGCAGCGCTGAGGTATTCTCGGGTTAGAGACTCACACGCGGTCCAGTCTTTCACATTTACCTAGTTGCCAAATCGCCTGGCAGACTTGCACAATTTGCTTTTGCGGATGACCGAAACCTTCCTTCCGTGAAGCCAGGGTTGCACTTTGAGCATATCCGAAGAAATTACTTGGCAGTGGGTGTCCAGAAACTTGGGAGCTGCTTCTCTCAATGTGACTCTTGTGAGTCTCCCTTTTCTGGTGCTTGGAGAGTGGATTTTCTGGGATGGACCCAGACAAAAATCGGGTTGCAGTTTGGGCCAATCGAGAGCCCTTGCCAGTCGCCCAGACCCACGCGGATGAGTACTTTCACATCCTGAAGCTCCGCAGGTTCGATGCCGAGAGACCGATGTCCCATAGACCTCCAAGTGGTTTTTTTTGTTCTCACAAGGGGGCCTGAATGTTTTTTGTTTTTCTTTTGTTTTCCCGTCTTTCGGATTTTGTATGGAGGGGGGTTACCTTCAGAATCAACTACACACACACATAGACTCCGATTTTGGTAAATGGGAGATCCACAAGCAGAAAGCCTATGCGAAGCTCTGAATCAAAGGATTGATCAACAAACAAAGGATCCCTATATTTCCCCTTTGGAGGTTCTCAACACCTTGTAGGTGCGCTTGAAGTGAGCGCCTTTTGGTGAGGTCAATGTCGTCCGGGCCGGGGTTGGGCCACACATCGGCCCAGAACTGCTCGACCGTGACAAGGGGGAAATGTAGGCAGTCTTGTGAACGGAGATTCCTTTCACGTTGGCTGTATGCATCTTTGGGTCAAGCAAAGAAAACGCAGGTCAGCAGTTGCGACGGGGAGCCGGCAATCCGCCCAAAGCTCGGACAGAAAGAAGCACGAGTGTCTCGGTACCCTCCAATATTGCTGAGCCATAACAAGGGGAGCCATGGGAATGCCATGCCCGTAAATGGTCCTTAGTGGCCCCAGATAGGACTAGCCACCAATACTTTGGCGCATTTTGTTTGGATGTTAGGACTTTTAACTTTTCGACAACTAATGGGGTTTTCCATTAAACCACTAAAAGTTAAACTCTTGGCAGGGGAGCAGAAAGCAACCAAGAATAGTCACTATTGCGCTGCAATAGCTGTGGCTTTGAATCCGTGAACGATATTCCCGGAGAGGGCCGAACTGAAAAACCAGAGCTTCTTGCCAAGGTCACAGAATGGATGGCTCGCATCATTTGCATCTACAAGCCGGCCTGGATGCAGGCTTGGAGCTTTGGGTTTTCTCTCAGGCCACCGTTGCAGACAGCGTGCCGGACTTTTCCTGCATTTTCCCTGAGTGGGACACCTCTTTGCGAGGAAAAGAGAGGCGAACGTGGACAAAACCATGCTTCGCTTTCAACCTAAGGGAGCCCAAGTCTGCACTGGAAGAATTTGCTTGCCAGGACACGAGCTGCCCCACTTTGGAGGCCAGGATTGTGGGTATCGCGCATGAAGGGCTGATTGGAGACATGAGCTGCACATCTTCTGGGTGGACTGACTACAGCCTGCGGTTACTTGGGGTTTGTAGGGATGGTCAGACAAGTTTCTGAATGACGAGCTCAGCCAACCAGGAGTTCTTTTTTCCCAGGAGGTTCGACCGCCATGGATGTGGCGTGCAGCCTTGTCAGGCAGAAACCGCTCTGGAGAAGGCTGAGGCTCGAGCCGTGACATATTTCCCGCGTGGCGAAACAAACAGACAGAAGTGGGTTGGGCTTTTCTGACCCGAAAAAGGGTTTCGCCCCAACTAATCCGAGGGTGCTACTCAGCTACTCGGTCCTTTCTCATTTCATGTTTGATCAGGTTGCACGTTGCCTTCTCAAGTTGCTCATGGCTTTCGTCCGCATGAGAAGTGTGGGACAAATGAACATCTCAAATTGGAGCAATCTTGCCTGAGGTCCATTCGCCCCTGCCCCGTATAAGCCATTTGCATGTAAGTTGGAGCCGGCGTGGCCGAACAGGAGCTGCTCCGGAAGGCCGGTCATGCCAGCAAGCCTGGCACTCGGGGGAAGTGACGATATGGTGGGGAACACTAGGCATACACCCCCATGAACATGTCTACCAAAGGGTCCGCACTTGAAATTCATACCCACATCCTGTTGGTTCCAGGTTGGTTTTCATATGAGCAGCGTCGTTCTTTTAGGAAATGCACACAATGTGTGCAAGGCAACAAGTTCTTCTCTCAGGTTTCAACCCCCTGCTTGGGGGAGAGCCTGAACCCGTAGCTTCTCCGAGTCGCCGGGGAAGTGCCGCAGGAGTTGGATGCCGCACTCAGCTCAATTTCTATTTACTTTCTCCCAACACAAACCTTCCAGAGCCCAGAGGTGATTTTTTGGTCCAGCGCCCTTGCTTTCTCCTTCTGGCTTTGAATTTCTATCAACCACTGTGTACCCCACGGACGTACCCTAAGACCAATTTCTACTCCACGTACAGTCAGGAAACAGGACAAAATCCCTGAAAGGGCACCCTGCGGCGTTTTTTTTCCCCCGCCAGAGGCTCGTTCACTTTGAGAAGCCCTAGAAACAACAAATTCAGTGGTAGGTTAAACGGGAAATCTCCGAGCGGTAGGTGGAAGGGATTCACAAAGCTGATTCAAACTGTTACCTACACAAAGCTAAGAATAAAGAAGGGTATGTGGTAGGAAACAAGCATAGGTGTCCTTTTTGTTGTTTTGGTCTAATAGATGGCACTGGTTTACCTGGTTTAGTCATCTACCAGGGAAACCCATCTATTTCCCCTAAAAAAAAAACACCTGTGAAAGCCGTTTGAAGTGGCAGGTGACGTGGAAGCCGCCTCTTCCCCTCCCCTTTGGCTGACTCAGCCGTCCGATTCCCTGCGCCGAGGTCCGCGCTCCTGGGCTTCGAGGCGCAGCTCGCGGTGGCCGAGCAGGCGCCCGGAGCCCCAGGATCGAGGCCCCACGTGAGCCACGCCCTCAAAAGCGATTCGTGGCAGAGATGACGAAATGGCATTCCATTGGTTTGAAATGGCATAGGAACCATTGGTTCTGGGATTACCAATTTAATACCACGTTTGGATTATGACTCACGTGTAATTACGGGGTGGGGGGGTGTGGGGGGGGTCCACGTGTTATTATGCTTGGACTTCTTTTGCCACGCAGTTTTTGGGGAGCAGCGCAGTATTTTTTGGGGGGAGAACATTTGTTGGGTCCTGTTCAGTGCTTGGAAGTCTTTCTTGAAGGAGATTTCAGGGGTCAACATGACTGTGGCGCATCCAACAATCGCACGAAATGAAACCAGGGTTGAAATGAACTGAGCCATAGCGTTTGTTGGTATTTACATTCCCTTGTTGGGTTTCATTTCGTGGTGCGATGTCTGAATTTTGCAATCGTCCACAAATAGTCCCGTTTGCGGTGGTTTGAATTGAGTTGCCAATGCTTGGGCTTCCCTTTGGGTGAATTTCAGGACAAACCAACTCCCCAAGAAGGTTCCATGAGAATCCTTGGCTCAGAACCCCTTTTCCAGAAAGGGTCTTTGGGTTCCCCCCCTAGACAATCGTGGTGATCATAATTAATAATTTAATTGAGAATGTAGGCGACCAATGCAGAAGTTTATTATTCAAGGAACCATGACCATGGCCCACGTAGGGAGTCTTGACCCTGACAAAAATATTGCCAGCCCCGCACCCCTTTATCAATGTGTATGGAGGTGTTTCGGTCTGCATCTATTTCGGGGTCCCCTGTTTTTTTGTCAATTTCAATTCAGTGTCCGTGGGTACATTGAACATCGTATGACGAGGGACGGCCTCAGGCTTTCCACTTAGGGGTTGTACTTTGGATTCGGGATTTGATGGGAGCAACGGACAAAACTTTAGAGCCTCCGGCTCAGTCCGCCGACATTGTCCTCTCCCTTTTCTCCTTCTTCCTCTCTTCCTTGTCTCCCTTGTGTGTTCTGTCGTCCTCTCTCCCTCCCTCTGCTCCCATCCTCCCCATCCCCCCAAGCCTCTCTCTCCCCACTCTCCCTCTCTCGTATGTATGCATGCATGTACATATGTATGTATGTATGTATGTATGTATGTATGTATGTATGTATGTATGTATGTATGTATGTATGTATGTATGTATGTATGTATGTATGTATGTATGTATGTATGTATGTATGTATGTATGTATGTATGTATGTATGTATGTATGTATGTATGTATGTATGTATGTATGTATGTATGTATGTATGTATGTATGTATGTATGTATGTATGTATGTATGTATGTATGTATGTATGTATGTATGTATGTATGTATGTATGTATGTATGTATGTATGTATGTATGTATGTATGTATGTATGTATGTATGTATGTATGTATGTATGTAATGTATGTATGTATGTATGTATGTATGTATGTATGTATGTATGTATGTATGTATGTATGTATGTATGTATGTATGTATGTATGTATGTATGTATGTATGTATGTATGTATGTATGTATGTATGTATGTATGTATGTATGTATGTATGTATGTGTATGTATGTATGTATGTATGTATGTATGTATGTATGTATGTATGTATGTATGTATGTATGTATGTATGTATGTATGTATGTATGTATGTATGTATGTATGTATGTATGTATGTATGTATGTATGTATGTATGTATGTATGTATGTATGTATGTATGTATGTATGTATGTATGTATGTATGTATGTATGTATGTATGTAATGTATGTATGTATGTATGTATGTATGTATGTATGTATGTATGTATGTATGTATGTATGTATGTATGTATGTATGTATGTATGTATGTATGTATGTATGTATGTATGTATGTATGTATGTATGTATGTATGTATGTATGTATGTATGTATGTATGTATGTATGTATGTATGTATGTAATGTATGTAATGTATGTAATGTATGTAATGTATGTAATGTAATGTAATGTATGTAATGTATGTAATGTATGTATGTATGTATGTATGTATGTATGTATGTATGTATGTATGTATGTAATGTATGTATGTATGTATGTATGTATGTATGTATGTATGTATGTATGTATGTATGTATGTATGTATGTATGTATGTATGTATGTATGTATGTATGTATGTATGTATGTATGTATGTATGTATGTATGTATGTATGTATGTATGTATGTATGTATGTATGTATGTATGTATGTATGTATGTATGTATGTATGTATGTATGTATGTATGTATGTATGTATGTATGTATGTATGTATGTATGTATGTATGTATGTATGTATGTATGTATGTATGTATGTATGTATGTATGTATGTATGTATGTATGTATGTATGTATGTATGTATGTATGTATGTATGTATGTATGTATGTATGTATGTATGTATGTATGTATGTATGTATGTATGTATGTATGTATGTATGTATGTATGTATGTATATGTATGTAATGTATGTAATGTATGTATGTATGTATGTATGTATGTATGTATGTATGTATGTATGTATGTATGTATGTATGTATGTATGTATGTATGTATGTATGTATGTATGTATGTATGTATGTATGTATGTATGTATGTATGTATGTATGTATGTATGTATGTATGTATGTATGTATGTATGTATGTATGTATGTATGTATGTAATGTATGTATGTATGTATGTATGTATGTATGTATGTATGTATGTATGTATGTATGTATGTATGTATGTATGTATGTATGTATGTATGTATGTATGTAATGTAATGTATGTAATGTATGTATGTATGTATGTATGTATGTATGTATGTATGTATGTATGTATGTATGTATGTATGTATGTATGTATGTATGTATGTATGTATGTATGTATGTATGTATGTATGTATGTATGTATGTATGTATGTATGTATGTATGTATGTATGTATGTATGTATGTATGTATGTATGTATGTATGTATGTAATGTATGTATGTATGTATGTATGTATGTATGTATGTATGTATGTATGTATGTATGTATGTATGTATGTATGTATGTATGTATGTATGTATGTATGTATGTATGTATGTATGTATGTATGTATGTATGTATGTATGTATGTATGTATGTATGTATGTATGTATGTATGTATGTATGTATGTATGTATGTAATGTATGTATGTATGTATGTATGTATGTATGTATGTATGTATGTATGTATGTATGTATGTATGTATGTATGTATGTATGTATGTATGTATGTATGTATGTATGTATGTATGTATGTATGTATGTATGTATGTAATGTATGTATGTGTGTGTGTGTGTGTGTATGTATGTATGTATGTATGTATGTATGTAATGTATGTATGTATGTATGTATGTATGTATGTATGTATGTATGTATGTATGTATGTATGTATGTAATGTATGTATGTATGTATGTATGTATGTATGTATGTAATGTATGTATGTATGTATGTATGTATGTATGTATGTATGTATGTATGTATGTATGTATGTATGTAATGTATGTATGTATGTATGTAATGTATGTATGTATGTATGTATGTATGTATGTATGTATGTATGTATGTATGTATGTATGTATGTATGTATGTATGTATGTATGTATGTATGTATGTGTATGTGTATGTATGTATGTATGTATGTATGTAATGTATGTAATGTAAGTGTATGTATGTAATGTATGTATGTAATGTATGTATGTATGTATGTATGTAATGTGTGTAATGTAATGTATGTAATGTATGTAATGTAATGTAATGTAATGTAATGTAATGTAATGTAATGTAATGTAAATGTAATGTAATGTAATGTAATGTAATGTAATGCATGTAATGTATGTATGTATGTATGTATGTAATGTATGTATGTATGTATGTATGTATGTATGTATGTATGTATGTATGTATGTATGTATGTATCCTTGCACTTCCCCTTTGCTCCCCAGTATTTCCCGCAAAAAAAAACACGGTTTTTCCAGCGTTTTCGCAAAGAGGACGTCCAAAAACATTGAGTTTTTCCAGATTTTCGGCAAAAGGATGCAGGAAGCCCAAGCCAGCAAAAAAGCCGGCAGGGGGAATCGAGCCTGGGACCCCTGTTTTGCGACACCGGCTCCCCGAAGACTACGTTTAGTGGAACGTCATCAAATTGCCGCGCGGTACGTGGGGGACCCCCCCCCCCCCAAAAAAACCTACGTAATAGACGTCGGGCGGGGGGGGGTTAGGGGGGGGGTTATCCTCTATCCTCTAGTAAGTATCCGACACGCCGAGCAACGTCGGCGGATATAGTTTGAATGGCTACTTGCGGCGTTTTCTCGCTCCATACAGTCTGAAATCGCAGTTTCTCCTGGTTTGAGAGAGTGGACTCAGGTCCAGCTTCCAGCTGGCCTCCCGCGCACATAGAAACAAGCATTGCCAAGAAGTTTCATGGGGCCCACCCTCAACCATGGTGTCCACTCAAGACCCCTGGTCAAAGCTCACTCCCAGCTTCAGAACATGTGGGGGCCCCACATTCCCCACCAAAACCACGCCGAAATTCTCGTGGCCGTGAGAAATCGGAACAGAGCTCAGGCTGAAGCGGCTGCTGCGCTGGTTCCAGCCTCTGCCCGGCGAGTTCCAAGCCCCGGCGGCTCGCCTCGCCGCAGGCGGCCCGACCCCCCGCATTCCCGGGCCGGAGCTTGGAGGAAGCACGAAACCCATTTCGCGCCCCGAAGAAACTATGGTTGAAACCAGTGTTGGTATTTACAGGAGAATCGAATCATTGCACGGCTTCTTAGGTGGTGCGAAATGGATTTCGTCCATCCACAGTGGCATTCTGCAAGTAATTAGTCGAGATTTCTACCTTCTGGAGAGGAGAAACACCCCTGCCCCGATTTGCAGGCATGAATGTTGAATGAGTATATCGCCCAGAAAAAAAACAGATGTTCGAAGGGCTGGCAGAGCAAATGCCAACATCAAGAAGGTGCGATGGTCCAGTCTTTGCTTTAACGGGCAGGATTTGCAAGGAGCCATGAGGCTCATTCATGTAGAGAACACTCTCATTTGTGTCATGAAGTTTTGACCACGGCTCCTTGATTCCCCATTCTTTTCAGCCATCGTTCTTTTCAAACACCCGCCATTTCCCCAGGGTTTTTGGTGGTTTTCTAGAAAGAACCGGATCCCTGGGAAGAATGGAAATGGAAGTTGCCCCTCGTCTTTTCCTCAGTTGTTCAGTGGCACCAATTCTTTTTCCCTTGCTTTTGGTGGCTGCCAAGAACTAAAAATGGTCCAAGCCCCAAAAAGCGTTCCCATTTTTTTTCCAGGGTCACTGAACGGCGCCTTTGATTTGGTCCGCGGTCCAGAACTCTCTCTTCAAGCGCTTCAACGTTTGAAGCATCTGCCGGAAGGTCTGCTCATTGCGGGTGATGTCGCCGCGACCCAAGGATAGGTCAAGGTGCAACAAGGGCTCCGTTGCCCCCAAAATGGTGGGTCTCTTTGGGGATCATTGGAAAACTTTGGTGCATTTTGCTTGGATGTTAGGACTTCAACTTTTTGCCAACTAATGGGTTTTCCATTAAACCACTAAAAGTGAGTCACTTTTAGCAGGGGAGCAGAAAGCAACCGAGAAAAGGTCACCCAACGTGGGTTTCCCCGTGCAACCTCAGGAGGACCCACAGGACTCCGGCCGAATCCTTCGGCTGCACGGGAGGCTCTCCCGCGGCTGGAGCGGCTGCAGCGGCTGCTGCAGAAGATGGAGGCGGCGAGAGGGGGAGGCGTTGTCCATCGTTTTCAGGTGTTTTACATTTGGCTGTGGGTCAAAACCGTTTTGGTACCATTTCGGGGTAGGTGCACCACCCATTTAAGAACCTATTTTAGTGGGGATTGGGATGTTCATGGCCATTTGGCTGTGGCTCAAATAAATGTACCTGGACCCTAGCTTTTTGATTTTGAACCACACCCATTTGGGTCCATTCTCGTGTTGTGCCCTTTTTGGACTTGGTTGCAAGGGAAAGCCAAAGGGACATGCGCCAATTTTGGGGGGTCACCCCCCCCCCCCAGAAAAGACACAGTTTTGTGTTTTTGGGATGGGGGAATGAGTTCTGACAGTTCTGCATCTCTTGTGCAGTACCTTCCGGCGAATCGAGAGCCCGCCCAAGGCTCGCTCAAGCGAGCGTCGCGGTGTTACAGTGCAACGCTGGTTCCCGAAATGGAGGGACATGGGTCTGGGCAGTTTGTCCTTCTTTTGTTTCCTTGGGGCCAGATAGCTGAAAGCTATAGGGGTGCTAACTTCCAAGAAAGAGGGAAGTGATTTGCGAGAGTGGGCTGGTGCTTGGGGTGCTGTCAGAGGTATGCTAGTGGCTGTTTGGGGCGCTCTTCGGGGAGTGCTGTTCGAGGTGCTGGTGTGCAAGGGATGTTTTTGACTACCTGGGGTCTAGTCTGGTGTATTTTTTTGAAGGGAAACCAAAAGGAACACCGTTGCGCCATATTAGGGGGTCCGAATCCTAAACAATGCACGCCGAATGTGCGAACTCTTTTCCAGGCTCTCTACTCAGCTCTCTACATGGCCATTTTGGATCAGCTTGTGAATCAAGCCTTGGGCACGACAGATCATGGCTTTGGCATTGGCCGCTCCGGCAGCTCAGATTGGAGCCTTTGAGAACCCTAAGCACCCCTCCGACGAAGGTAGGAATCTTTTTGCGGGGCGGGGGGTTCGTGAGCGTTGCCCCTCTCGTGCAGGTGCGCTGGCCAACATCGGAGGAGAGGCAGGAGCAGCAACGCTGACGTAGCATGCCAGCTAATACTCGATTTGGTCCATCCTGCACCTAAGAAACCCTGGATTGATTTGATTCCCTTGTACATACCAAGCAATGGTTCCCCGTGGTTTCAAAGTGGTGCGAACGGATTTCGTCCACAGTGGCACCCTTTGCGTTTTGGGCGGTTCCTTTCGGCTTCCCCGAAGAAAGTCCGCCTCAAGAAAAGACACACCTCCAAAGCTTGGGCCCTTAAAAACAGAAAAAAAAACGAGATCCGCTACTCCAAGCCCAGATCAGGTGTTTTTTTCCGCGGGGCGATCTTGCGGCCCGGTTCTGTAGCTTTGTGGCTGAACCCTTGGAGGTGAGTTTGGTTGGACATAGATGGGTTTCACTGGTTTAGTGTGGTTTTATTCTATTTAACAGGGCCATGTATGCTACCAAAAGGACATGAATGGGCTACATAGTCGTCTCCAGGAAACCAAGCGCCAAAGTTGCAGGGCAAACTGTGCCTGTGGCTTGTACAGATTGGTGTGCACTCCAGACTGGTGGCGAGCCCTTGTTCTTGTCCATGACTGAATCGCGCTTGGAATCAACGAGCAGTGTGATTGCCACGCCCCACGCAAGCAGAAGAGTGACCCAACGCAGGGTTCAACAGCTATGTTATGCTACGCTCGGCTTCGATCCAAAGCCAACAGGGCTTTTGGCCAGAAACGGTATGTGAGTCAACTGGGGCCGCAGCTACAAGAACCGTCTGTTTGTTTTGGCAGTTGCCATTGTGCACCTACCCGGAGCCTAGCAATGAAAGTAGGAGAAACTGTTCTGCAGATAGCTTTGGAGCAGACAGCTGTTGCCATCTACCTACATCAAGCAGGGCCTCACTTGCCCCCTTTTTTTCTCAGAACAGGGGCAGTGAAGGGTTCCCACAACATTTGGCTGTGGGTCAAAACCAATTAGGTGCACCACCCATTTTAGTCTATTTTAATGGGGATTGGGACGCTCATGGCGGGTACGGGGTTTCGACCCATGGCCATTTGAAGACTACCTACGTTCGATGGGCAAGGGCCAGGGTTGGCCCGTGCCAGGCTATTCCCTGCGCAAGATTTGCCGGAACAATTCGCATTACTGGCAGAGGCGGTCGCAGGGCCGGGTTTGCCTTTCGTGGCGACGGTTGGCGTGTTGTTTTTTGTATTTGATGGCGAAGCTTGTGGTTTTTTGCCTTCCATGGCTAAGCTTGACGTGGTGATTTCCCGTCAATTTGTGTTTTTTTTGGGGGGGGAGGCTGCCCAAGTCCCTGAGTTTCTCGGTTTGCTTTGCTTTGATGTTTTTTCCTCCGAGCCTGCGACACCTGCATGTGCTAGTGCAATTCCCGGCAGGCGGCATACGTGCAGCGGCTCTTTGATCAGCTGACAAGGTCATGGCCCAAGGGGGTTTGTCTTGTTTTGAGTTGGTCCCCTTTTTGGGCCGGGTTTGAAGGGAAACCAAAGTAAAACCCGTCCCCCCTACTTTGAGGCCACCCCCTTGCAGCCCCATTGCCCCGCTAATTACATGTGGGGCTCCTGGGCTGGCGGAATCCGCCGGCCCTGCCGGCACCAGGCCGGTGTTGACCTTCCACGACACGAGGCCGGAAGCGCCCCACGAGGTTCCGGGCCCAGGCTCGCAGTCGCGTAAGCCGAACGCCAATGAACGTGGGGGTGTTAAACCCAGCCGCATGGCTCCGAACTGGGTTTGAGGCTTTGCCACGTTTCTTTTCTGTTTCAACCACCATCAAAAATAGAAATGTTGGGCTCGTAGAACCATCGGTTACCTAAGGGTTGTCATCTACATTGGGTCCTTGCTATAAGAATGACCCTAGGCTTTGGGTGCGTGCCGCTGTGCTCGGCTTCCCAACAGGAGACTCATGCAAAAACAAACAACTTTTGGGGGGTGTGTCGTTCGTCGTGTTTGAGGGGTTCGGAGCCCAACATGGGGCTTTCGGTGTCTCCACTTTTCACTTTAAAACCGCAAGAAAGGACACGCCCAGTTGCTGGAGAAAGCAAATGGCTATGGGTCAAACCCCGTCCCCCCAGTGAACATCCCAATCCCCACTTAAATAGACTACAATGGGTGGTGCACCTACCCCAAAATGGGATCCCAAACGGCCAAATGGCGAGCTGATTGCCCAGGCCTGGTTGGTCTTCCTGTGGGGCGGTCGAGATGCCAAGGCCGGCTTCCGAACCCCGCGCGCGTTTCGCGCTGGACGCTGAAAGCGGCATGCAAAAGTGTTGATGCATTGCTGAAAGCCCTGAATGCAAACTTCATTTGGCTGGCAGGTGTGCAGTGCTAAGTAGGTGCGCTTGAGCGGATGTGCTTATCAGTCGGTTGGCGTACGTGCAGTGCTCAGCGATGCTCAGCGCCGTTAAGGTGCTGCAACTGGACTTTCGTGCGGGCAGGTATTAGCCCGAAACCTGGTAGGCAACCCAATCTGCGGGTCTTGAGCAGAGTCGGATGATGTCCCCAATTGCAGCACACCCCAAAATGGAACTATCATCGAAGTGCACGACCCGTTTCAAGAGGATGGTGGGAGTTTGATACTGATGCCGGTTGCTCTTTTGAGTGCATGTACCACCCCAACTCTCTTGAATTTGGCTCGTTATCTGCCACGAAAAACACATGGTGCTAAATCCTTCCTTCCCACACATGGAATCCGACGGGGTGGTGGTGGAAGACACTTTCTTTCGGGGTCCCTGGATTTCCCCATTCCAAAGCTTCAATTGCCTGGTGGGCTGCCCTCAGATCCCCTGCTAAACGTTTAACTTTTAGTGGGTTAATTGGAAACTACCACTAAACCCAAAAAGCCTAAAAAGCCAAGGGGACCGCTGGGGGCCACCAAGACTGGTAGTTTCCATTGAAGTTGCCACTTGAGGTGAGGGAAATGGATCCTCTGGTCATCTGGGTTTGTCTGGTTGCTAGGAATCAGACGGGTTTTCCTTTTGGTGTCCCTTTAAACCACCAAACATGGAGTACCCTAAAAGGACACCCCAATCTCAGAACTGCCAATCTAGCCAGATTCTACCTGCTTTCTACACGAGACACTGACAATTGCCAAGCTGACTCGGCCTCTGGAAAGCGGCTCCGCACTGCACGAATGCGAGCATCCGAGATGGGCATTTGTCAAAATTAGACCACCAGGAATTGGACCGCAGGTTTTAGTCCACGTTTCCACTTAGCAGGGTTACCCATTTTGAGGTTGCCCAATTTTTGACCCACAGCCGAACGCATTTTTTTTTCCGCGTAAAAGTTGGCAGTAGCTTGGCACCGAGCCAGGCCGAGGCACGTGCTTGGGTTCATGGCGAGGCGCGCTTGAGAGTTGTACACGTGACCTGGCGGTTCCCAGGCGTCTTCTTAGCTTTTTAGGTTTTAGTTGGTTTTTAGTGGGGGTTTCCATGTAACCCACCAAAAGTGAAACTTTTAGCTGGGGATCTCAAAACAGCCCAGGTTATGTTCAAAGGATCCCCCCGCATACCCAAGCGGCGACTATTGCTGCGGGATACGTTTCAGGCAATCCGGACGTTGGCACACTCCGTCCGGAAGGCCGAGGCCGTGCAAGGGTCACTGGTGCGCCAGCTCAAAGCGAACGCCTCAGTTATGCGAGCAGTTTTGCTAGGAGGGGACATGTGCATTTCAGAGAAAGAGACGTGATTCGGGCGCATGTGATAAATAATTGCTGGGCTGGCGGTTGCTTACACAGCTTTCAAACGATTGATGTGCATGACAGGAGGCATTTTGGTGTGCGCTTTTCTACTTGAGGGCCCTGTTCATTCTTTTTCATTAGGTGCAGGGCAAGCCACACATTGGCTGGGGCACTCTCTCTATACAAAGGCAGGGGGATGTACATCCTCATCACTTAGTGCAACACCGCACGCACGCCTCTCACCTCCACCTCCACCTCGCTACGCTGGTCGGAAGTTGGATCATCCCGCAAAGCTTTGGCTTCAGCCGGCTTTCTGCGGCAGGGCCAATGGGGAAGGCTCGGCAAGGGCTTTCTGCGTTGAAGCATTGCACGACCAGCATCAAGCGCGGTGCTTCTGAACCGTTTCGGGCTGCTTTAAGGGGGTTCCCACGGGAAGCCAATTTGGGTGTGGCTCAAAATTAGAGCGCCAGGGTTACGCCGTTTTTAACGCCGTTTTTAGTCTTGGTTCCATTTACCTTTTGGTGCCATTTTGGTACATTTTTGTGAGCCGCAGCCATTTTGGGTCCCCGACAGATTCATGTCGACTCCAGGACTGGACCCATGCTGGTGCCACGCCGCTGTCCGAGCTGGACTGCAATGCAACCTACTCGGGCACGGTGACCAATGTGGGCCAGTGCCTTGACCGGTCAAAATGCAACCACGAATTGGACCGCAGGTTTTACTTCACGTTTCCATTTGCCTGGGCAACCCATTTTGGGTACCGATTTTTGACCCACAGCCAGGTGAGCAACAATCCAAACCCGGGTAGATGAAGGATAGGTGCGGCCGCCGTTAAAACTCTAGTCAGTGGTTTGGGTACACCAGTTTAATGCCATATGTTCACGTCTTGAGGCTACCCAAGGGCAAAAGTGTTTGGCTGGTCTCCGCCTATTTTGGCAAATAGTTTCAAACACCCGCGAAACTTTGACAAAAGTAAGGCTATCATTGTTTGGGTCCCCCCTATTTTGGCAAATACTCACTGAACTTCTGCTAAAGTTTCACACAACTTCGCACACCTCTAACTCTTGCGGTGTCCGCGTGCCACTTTCTGCAACACGAGGGCCTTCTTTGGTTGTTTCTCTTGGTAGGATAAGGAAAGCCAAACTCACCCCAGTAGTCTGCAGGTATTTGACACGGGAAGTTGAATGCAGGCCTTTCGCCGAATTGCTTTGAACGGAACCCCACCAGTTGGAAGGTCTCTTGTTTTGACACAGTACGAGTCGAGCCAGCATCATATCCGAATGTTCCCATAATATACCCCCCATGATGAAGATTCCTTTTAAGGGAGGGGGGTCCGTGAATTTGAGTAGTGTCTCCCAACATGGGTGGGCTCCCTTCTGTTTCCCAGTAAAGCTGCCCCAAAAGGTACCCTCAAAAGGAGCCCAGGCTCATTTCGGCTAAGGTTTGGCGTGTTCGTGGACTTTGGCGCGGTGAAGGATGCACTGCTGAAGGTCCCCACGAAGCTGCTCCGGAAGAATTGACTGAGCAGGGTTCCACTTCTCCGCTTTTCGGGTACCCAAGACTCAAACCCGGTTCTCCTTTTGGGGGACGGAGCCGCCTTGTCTTATTCTACCCTTAGTCAAATTGTGGAACCCTGGTTCGAGCTTGCGCATTCATTTTCCTGGTGGCTTCCCTTTGGGCCAACCGGAAAAGGGTAAGAGAGGCCCGGCGTGGGGCCGTTTTTTTTTGAAAGAACTGTTTTTTCCCCTTGAGCATGGATTCAGTCGACATCTGCACACTATAGATTAGAATTTGAACAAAGTGATGTTGAACACAAAGATGGATATTGTTTGCAATACTCATTTAGCAGATATAGAATCTAACATCCCTTTTGGGATCTGAATCCTAGACCAGTTCACCTGTATGTATCGCGAGATTGTATTTGCGTTCTCCTAAAATCGGGCCAAACATAAACATTGGGGTCCCGATGGATTTACTGTAAACAAGCACTCGCATTCACACAAGACTAGACTACGAGGGCCACCGTCTCACATTTGCAAGCTGGTTCTCTCACATATTTCATTTTTTAAGACTAGGATTTCGTAGCTGTTAAGAAAGTACATGTTTTTGCCGCCTGGATTCGCTTGCCACATAAGCGATGATCATGCTCAGCAAGTTCTGGCTTTTAAAGGGACATAAATGTAACCTCTCTGTTGCAGTGTTTCGATGCCGTGTTTTTTGAAAACAGAGACCCCATGGCGGTCCCTTCTGAAAAGGGTACCCTCAAAAACACGCACCCAATCGTCCTTTGGTCAGAGAGCTGGCTGAGAGCCTGAGCAAGGCAGGTAGGACGGTGCTTTCCGCCTGGAAGCACCATTTTCAAAATTTATGGTGAATTCACCACCCATTGTAGAGCCTATTTTAGTGGGGATTGGGATGTTCACTGGGGGTACGGGCTTTTGACCCATGGCCATTTCAGCACTGAGTTGGGATACCCTTCTGAGCTGATAAGCTTGCTTGACCTCACCACGAAATGGCAGAGGGCATGATACAGAAGTGACTCAACGCCCGATTTCACGATTCGCAAGGTTGCGATTCTTCCTTCACTGGCCAGCAGCTTCATAACTCATTCCCAGATTTACCACGAAGCGTATGCTGAGGCGAGTCTAACTCTGGCAGGACAACCAGTGCAAGACGTGTTGCAAGCTGTTGGGCCCTACGGGGCTTGAGTTGACCTAGCGCGGGCTTGTGGTGATGCAAAGGTTTGGGCCACGAGCGGGAAGCAAAGGTATTTGTTTCCGACGAAGCTCACCGAATGATTGAATCAGAAGTTCAATCGACGGATTGGATAGCCCGCTGGCACCTTCCATCCAGGATGGATCGTTATATGGCAAGCACTTTGGCTGGCGCCCACAGGCGCCTGGCTTGATTGGAATTGACCGCACTCGACTCTAAGCCAAAAGGATGGACGGAGCTAGACAAGGGTGCAACATGGTGCTTTTTTCCTTGTGGTCCCCTTTCACAACCACCAAACAAAAGGCACCCTCAAAAAAGACAGACGACTGGGGCCACACCGCCCTACCCCCCATGCGCAGTTGTTTGAGGTTGGGCCGCAGACTTCGGAAGGGGATGGAGTTGGAGGGCCTCGCCATTTTGCCCCTCAGACTTCCGATGGGAGGGATTGCGCGTCAAGTCTCTCTCCCCCCAGATGCCCAGTGGCGCCCTTGTTTCCTTTTTTGGGGGAAGAGTTCTCCTTTAAACTCAATCAGTCAACAAAGGATTCAAAGGATGCCCTTTTTCCCATGGCCATTGGGCGTATGAGTCCCTGTAAAGACTTACAAGCGGTAATCATTCAGCTCACCCCATACAAGTTGAACCGTTGCCACTTGCCACTTGCGAAAGAGCGCAAGGCCGGAGCCACAGTTGGAGTAATCGAGGGGCGCAAGCGTGGCTTGGAAGGCCTTCTTCGCACTCTGCACGTGTGGGCTTCATCGATTCGGATGCGGATCTTGGACAGAACTCATGGCTTTTGCTTGAGAGCTTGTGCTGAGGTCACTCGATCCAGATGCTGGCAAAGCATCTTGGAAAGTTGGAATGCGGACTGGGGACACCAGCAGTGGCAGAAACGCGTGTCGCGTCATGGTGCAAGAGAGCGTTACTGTAGTTTCAACGAATGTAGGGCCTGATAGTATTGAAATACACATGTTTGATGACGTTACTAAATCCAGAAGGTTAATGGATTGGATCATGTGGAGTCGTTGGATGGACATGATGGAGGGCTTAGGTGGTCATGGAGGCTGACGAGGAGCAGCTGTCCGAGCTGGAGCCGAGGCCAGAGAGATGCGTCGAATTTCTCGGATCCGAGGTGTTGAGAAAAGAAGCGGGTGGTTTTGGCATGGGGTTTAGTTTTAGTCAAGGTCCCAAACATCTCAACCATCAATGTTCAGTTCTTTCGGGCCGAGAAATGCGATCCGGACATGGGGATTCTGTGCCAGCCCGGCAAAACGGCCGATTCGGCTTGGAAGCATAGCCCGGTGTTCTTCTTGCTGAGAATCTTGCGGTGCAACACGCAGGGTAGCTGATGCCGGGACGGGCAATTGGTGGCAGAAACCAACAGGAGGCACGACATCCATTTGGATGTCAAGCCCCGTATGCAGCCGATCATTTTGACAAGGAACATATGATGTCTCTCTTTCTCTTTTGGACTATGACAGACCTGTATATGTAGCCTCAAGGATGTGAGATTCCGGGTGGATTCTTGGTGGATTCCTGGTTCCGGGTGAGCTTCTCATCGAGCCGGCGCAACACTTTTGCGATAAAGCTAGCGCACACTTGCAATACATGGTGGTTTAAAGTGTTCAGCCGGTTTCTTCAGTCATCTTTAGTACCAGTTGAATGTTGAGTGCTTTGGGTCATGTGGTTTGGACTTAGTTGACCACCAGCCTAGCACTGGTGCCAGTGCCAACCTTTGAGTTCGCTTTCACAACATCTCGCAACGAGTCGTCTTCCAGTGGCAGCAAGCCACTCCCTGGGGCCTTGCTCACGCGCCAGCGATGCCCGGTAGTTGCAAGCTCAAGAGGGTCTGAATGTATACGGAATCCACAAAGTACAATTTACACTCGTCTAAGAGTAAAAGTACATACCCCAAATGGAAATCCCGGGATGTGTGCTTGCCACTTTCGGGGGTATGTAAAAAAGCCCACAGAAATTGGGCCAAACAGTTGGGTCCAAAACTTTGGACACGGCCGCTTTGGCCTGACAGGAAGGCTCCGGCTCGTGCACGCTCAGCCTCGCGGCCGCGGAAGAAGCGGACCAACTGGGATCACGAAGGTGGGGAGGGGCGGAGTGGGGTTCGCTCGCGATTATATTTTTATTATTTACAGTATATCACGTACCTGCAAGACGTTGATGAATCTTTTGGAGCCACAAGCAGAACTCCCAAGTGAAGGTTCGTCGGGAATGGCTTTCATTGTTACCCCAGGAACATGAGCCCCTGTGAGACGGGGGGTCCTTTGGTTTTTCTCAGAAGTGAACCACCAATAGAGGGACGCCAACTGTACCTTCGATTCGCCTTCCAGAATTAGTTTTTGTTTGTTTTGCTTTGTTTTATTCTTCTGGCTTTGAAGAATATGGATCTATCCAGATTGGTTTCCTTTTGGTTTTCTTCTTGTCTTGCTCGTGCTCATCAGGGAATGAGGGTCATTCCCTCATTGCCTGCTGAGCACCAGCAAGTTCTCCTTTTCTCAAGGGGTTGATTCCCCATTCTTTTCAACCATCGTTCTTTTCAAAAACCGGCTGTTTCCCCTGGGCTTTTGATGGTTTCCTGAAAAGATTCGAATCCCTGGAAAGAATGAACATGGAAGGTACCCCTAGATTTTCCCCTGGTTTTCTTCTTGTCCTTTCCAGGAGCGACGCCCTTGGAGGAGCTGCGGGTCGGGGATATCTGCGAGGGCCAGGTCACCAACGTCAGCGTCTACGGGGTCTTCGTGGACATCGGGGCGGCGCCTTGCTGTGACAAAAACAACCATTTTTGAAAACGATTGAAAGGAATCAACCCCTAGAAGATCCCTCAAAATGGTGATTTGGTATTCTTTGTTGACCACCGAAAGGGGTACCCTTCGCCTCAACACACGCATCGGAGCCGCTGAGACCCGGGACGCTCGCCTGAACGTGCCGGCGGCGATTGGCCGGAGGTTCCGCATCGGCGATGAGGTGCAGGACGCCGCCGGCCGTGACCGATGCGATGCGGGTTCGGAGGTTTTGGTTTTGGTTGCTTCCATTTGAGCCACCATCAAAGCCCGGTAAGGTTAGTAAGGGCCAGTCCCAGCCAGAAATAGTTGCGGATATCCGCCTTATTAATTTTTGAAGCATGGTTCTGGGTAGACCATTTTAATACCGGGTTCTGATTGTGACTCATTTGCTGAAGAATGTGCAGGTTGGAACGGGGGGGTGGGAAGCCGAAGGTGTCGATTTCTGTCGATTTCTCTGCGCAAATAGCAAGGAAATGGGTTTCAACCATGGTTGCTTCCATTTGTTGAAATGAAAAGGTTTGATTTTGCCCTGCTGGTTTTAAAGGGAATCTATCACCATTGGAATATGTGTTCTTTCTTTTTTTCAGGGGGCTTAAGCAAGTCGAAGGTTGCCGCGACAGAAAGGGCGGAGGTCGGGAACAAAGGAAAAGAACTACGAAAAAGGGCCCCTGCTGAACGAGAAACAAAGACCCAAAATGAGAGCACCCCTTGTAGAGTTGCCATTTCAGCAGGTTCTACTACCTGTTCTGGCGGGATGTGTTTGAGCGACAAGGCCCCCACCTTTACCGTTACCATGCTGGTGCCAACATTTAGTGGGTTTTGGGCACCCAGATAAAGTTTGCTCTAAAAAAGCATGGTGCACATTTGAGAGAGACATGGCTGTGGGTCAAAACCCTGTACCCCTGGTGAACATCAGAATAGGTGGTACATGGGTGTTCATCCGCCCCAAAATGGAGGCATAGGTTATGACCCATGCCCACCATGTCCATGGATGCCATTCGCCGCAGCAGGGACTTTGACCATGAATATGCTGGCAGGCTCGTCCTTACCCACAGAATGCAAACCTTGGATCGATGTTCGACCATTCTTACGTCTTCGGGTTCCCTCTGGACCAGACTCATGAACAACCCGACCCAAATCCTGGCAAAGTTTCTGGCTGTATCATTAGGACTGCACCATTGACATGATCGACCTGGAGCAACAGCGCATGAGCGCCATGCTGCCGGATCCAGAGGCGGGTCGGGATGTTCCTTGAGCTCAAGGCTTCCGAGAAGCCGGAAGCGTTGCTCATCCTAAGCGAAAAAGAACCAAGAAGCTTCTGCTTTTCAAGTGGGTTTCCCAGATGGTGGCCCAAAAGGCGTGTTTTTGCGCTCACCTTGGACGCTTCGAGTTTCCGTGGCTCAGGAAGCCGTGCGGCACCTGCCGCCCAAGGAAAGGCAGCCGAAGGAGCCGAAGGAGCCGAAGCCGCAGCCGAAGGAGCCGAAGCCGAAGTCGCCGGCGCAAGCCACGGCCGGCAAG